TATACAAAAATGTCAAGAACTTGTCGTTTAAATCAAACCAGCAGTTTATAAAATTGTCACCATAAGGAAACATCAAGTTTTAATTTGTTAAAGACAATAAGAAGTAACTACACAAATCCTTCTTAGGAGTAAAATGAACATATTTCCCTCAATCACCCACATACTGCACACCGCTGACTACTTTGCTGAACTAAGATATGACCTTGCTTAAATATGGAAAATATTTTGTTTCAAATTGTTAAAAGTAAGCAAAAAAAACACAAAGTACTAGAATTATAAATTGGGGCATATATAATGTCTAAAATAGCAATTGCCCATACTTTTCACTTATCTTTTTTGATAGATTAAACTCTTAAAAAGTTCCTCCTGTATACCTTACGGTACTTTAAAATGAGTAAATTTTATAATTAGTGCAAAGTACTGACGTAAATTCAAATCGTAAGGAAATGTTTGGGAGCTAATGATGAGTGTCCTTTAAGAAACAAGTAATGGGGCCTACCCCGTGGCGCAGCGGTTGAGCGCTGGCTTGCGAAGCTGCCCCCAGCCTCTGCAGCGCCAGTTCAATCCCCGGCTCACTGGAGGAGGGTCCCACAGCAGACCTCCCCTGTTGCCTGCTGCTCCCCTCAGCAGTGTTCTTCAGTCCCTCTGCCTGTTCTGCTCCCCGCTCTGGCTCTGGTGAATTCTCTCACCCTCCCGCGCTTCTGACTGTACCCAGTGCTTATATAAATAAATAAAATAACAAGAGTTCTCCTTTAAAAAAAAAAAAAAAGAAAGAAACAAGTAATGTATGTCTCTTGTGCTTGTAATTCTTGGTGCAAACTAAGTTTGGATTTTGCTCAGTTACCATAAAGCAAGATCTTTCTTGAGGGGCAGTGGAGGAATCAAGAATGATTGAACCCAAGAATGATTGGGTTCTAGGTTTGTCAGACAGGTTTTCTGGTATGTCTGTGGTTGATGATCTGGGAACACTGGAGAGAACAGATTTGGGGACAGGGAGAAGGAGAAAGAATGTTTAACTTTAGATGATGAGCAAGCAGGAAATTCATATACAGGGGTCTGCAAATAGCTGAACACAACTCATCCGGAGTTTAGGAGATCCAAAGCTGGAGAAATAAACGTGGGCATGCTCAGGACATAGAGGCCCCATTGTGGTCTCAACTGCCCTCAAAAAAATATATATTTTTATTTATTTATTTTATTTATTTATACAAGCACTGGGTACAGTCAGAAGCGCGGGAGGGTGAGAGAATTTACCAGAGCCAGAGCGGGGAGCAGAGCAGGCAGAAGGACTGAAGTACACTGCTGAGGGGAGCAGCAGGCGGCAGGAGAGGTCTGCGTGCCATGTGGGACCCTCCTCCGGTGGCCGGGGAGCAGCCGGGGATCGAACAGACGCTGCAGAGGCTGTGGGCAGCTTCACAACCCAGCGCTCAACCGCTGCGCCACCGGGGAGGCCCTCTCAAAAATATTTTTAAGCTGTCTGATTTGGCTTACATGAAAATGTCGAGTATTTAGAGAAGAGAACACGTCCACTTAATCCTGCTTCCAATTTATTAAGCCAAGAAGCAGAAATAAGAAGTCTTTCATCTGCTCAAGTGACTGTTCTCATTGCAACTGTTGTACTATAGATATTCATGGTATCCCAACCATTGAACACAAACTCCCATATAATTTTCTCCTGTCAATTTGATAACCGAGGCCTGCCTCTGTGTGTTTTCTTTTGGTTGCCAGTCAGATGTACCTGGTTTTAGAAGCAAATCTGATGAAAAGCTGTATTATAGGGATAATAAGTATTGGGCCTTATCACAATTTGTTACACTTAATACTTTTCCTTAAATTTGTCTCCCTCAGCATAACCTCCTCTTCTCCATCACTGTCTCTTCACACATCTTTTTGTCTGAACAATCAATAGATGCCTGCTGAACAAATGAAATTAGGGGAAAATAAACCACATGAATTTTATTAATACATGGTATCTCATATGTTCTGCTGTATGTCGAATGCTGTTTTGAACATTGTTCCAATCACTTCCCTGTGCTTTAATTCTCACTTGCTTTCTTCTATTATTTGAGAACAGGTCTCAGCTTCTGGATTATAGAATAAGCATTATTCTTACTCATCTTAACTCCCTCCTAGTGCCAATCACAAAGACAAATATTTGCAGTTAATACACTTCAATGCTTTCAAGTTAAATAGCACAACGAGTTATAGTAATGAAAATATTAAGGGTCTTTAAACTTAGCTTTAAGGAGCAATTATGAGAAAAATATTTGCCAAATATGTCTTTATAGTGAGCACTTCTAAAATAACTCAAATATTATTTCGCTTTAAAAAATCTTGTTCCTTTTATTTCAAGAATATACTTATTCTATAGAGGGAGGTGTACTTGCTGTAAATGTCAGCCTTTGGCCTAAAAGAGGCAATAGAGTTCTAGAGATTCGCAATGATCTTTTTCTTAGCAGGATCTAAGTAGGTTTGTTCAAGACAAAATGGGAAATCAGCAATTTAGAAGCAAAACTTTAGCTAAAATGTTGACGATTTGTATGTACTGATCATAATCTGAAGGGTTCTACTTTGTAAACTTTTTCATGTTAATTAGAAAACATTTATGGCTTGATTCCTGGATTGTTACAGTCAAGACTACTTTTGTCATCTCAAAGTTCATTTCCAGATCACACTTAAACTTTACCTCTCACCTGGAAAAAAAAAGTTACTTTGTTTTTCCAATTGGTTAAAAAATGCACTAGTAACTATACTGAATTAGTTATGAAGATAGGGGCATTTTATTGTATTTGGGAAAATGACAAAACTGAGGCTATAGTCAAATCATCTGAGAAGACCACCTACCTAATAGGTGGCATATTTCATACGTCTTCAGGATTTCCTAGGCCATATTAGATTTACAAACTTAGAGTATATTAAAAAGTAACAGAAAGCCCCAGATCTGTTGGTCCAATAAATTCTCTCAAAATAGTCTGTCTGCACTGGAAACTTGTTACACATTTTGTTATATACCAGCTAAGATCATCAACACTGTGAGGAAGATATGTGAGGCCAGGAATGGCACCATTTGATTTCCATTACCTGTGAGTAAGTGATTTTGGTAAATACACTACTAATTCTCCTCAGTTATCCAAACTGAATTAAGTCTCCTAGTTATTGTCAGACACACAAGTCGTCTGAAAATACTTGGTGTGCTTTATTGCTTGTATTTCCATAATTCATTATATTTTCAAGGTGCTTTAAATAATACCTGTGAACACTAACAGTTATATAGTTTCAGTTGTTCAGTTTTGTTTTTGTTTTTTTTTAAAGATTTTATTTATTTATTTATACAAGCACTGGGTACAGTCAGAAGCGCGGGAGAGTAAGAGAATTCACCAGAGCCAGAGCAGGGAGCAGAACAGGCAGACAGATGAAGTACACTGCTGAGGGGAGCAGCGGGCGGCAGGAGAGGTCTGCACGCCATGTGGGACCCTCGCTGGCGGCCGGGGATCGAACTGGCGCTGCAGAGGCAGCAGGCAGCTTTGCAACGCAGCGCTCAACCGCTGCGCCACCGGGGAGGCCCTGTTCAGTTTTGATGCCTTTAAAAATGTCCTGGAATGGGTAAGATTGTCTCAACTCTGACTCCTGTTTCTTTTTGTCAAAATTCTGATATCAACATCAGGCTATACTAACTCTAACCTCAAACTACTACTAAGTTTAGAAGCAAGGATTCCTTACATTTTTACTTCTCCCTTATGGATTAATAATTCTGTGTCTCCCTTAGGTATTGACAAAATTAGATATTACAATCCTTTCTTTAGTTATTTTACAAGGCCTTTGTTCATCCAGACGTATTACTTGTACCTCAAAGCTAACATATTTTCTTTAAGAATGCCAAAGATAATCTAAACCTTGTTTTTTTTTTTTTTTTAATATATATATTTTTCATCATTCTTTCTTTTTGTACAATGTATGCTTTCTCCTCTCAGGTATAGTCCCCGTATAATTCCCAGCACCAGTTCACTCATACACCATCCTATAGTCCCTTGTCCTCTTCCCTCCCGTTTTGAAATCTCCCTCTCCCCTGCAGAATGTCTCAGATTTATAGTTGCCTGTTAATTTTGTTTTTTAATTAATTATAATTATTTTTTTCCTGATCCTTTATTTGGTTCCCCTATATTTCTCCTATAAGTGAAACCATCTGATATTTTTCTTTTTCTTTCTGGCTTATTTCACTGAGCATAATCCCCTCTAGCTCCATCCATGTTGCTGCAAATGACATGAGTTTACCTTTTTTGATTGCTAAGTAAGCCTTATTTCAGTAGAACATTTTTCTTAAGAAAGTTAGAAAAATGTATATCCATATTTTAAAGATGTTTTAGGAAGGAATAGGACTCGACACTTAATCTTACATATTTCAAAAAAAACCAGTGTCACTTGCTTGAAGTCCTACTTTTCACTTGGAACACAATCCTTTGAAATGGTCTGCTGGACAGAGTTTGTAACAATAAACCAAATATAGTCACCCAACTCATGCTACCCATAGTATTTCTATTAAAATACACATACCAAGCCATGGTTCACACTGATACACAGGAAACACATGTGCACACATACTGTATTTATATACCACAAACAATGTGAGCACCTTTGTGTTAAAAACATTCTCCGAGAAGAATCCTAGCGACCTACACAGAAGGCATCCCCGAATGAACTTCATCAGGGAATTTACAGATACTAATGATGTCCAGAAGTCAAACGAGGTGTTTTGACTAGATATTTTAGCACATTCTCCAGTTACACAGATGTATTTGGTTATTCTAGATGGCCAAGTTAGTCTGCAGCACTCCACAATGATATCACACATAACTAATATTCTCAGCACTCAGTGCCACACAGGACCATCCTTTCTTGCTGCCTTCAGCCCAGGGGTTTATTTCCACACCTGCCACAGCTCTGTCAGGTTTTTCACATGGTGCAGTGTGCACTGTGGAAGTCAGGTGAAAGAAATGAGAAAAATAAATTTTTATTATAAAAGTGTGCTTTATTATAAGGAAAATTTAAATATAACCAACAATACTGAAAATAATGTAACTGGCATTTACAGCCTTGGTCAGAGTTCTTTATTAAACAGGCATTTGTTTGCTGTTCCATGAATAGTTAACAATCAGCTTATGCAACAAAATAGATTGCTTGAAAAAGGTGAATAAAGTTAAGAATACAGAACGAACCAGGAATTTGGAGTTCTTTCTGGTTTTTGTTTTAACAGACATGGCTTTTAAAATAAAATCTAAAATAGAAAACAAGTCATCTTCATGTAGTAAGCTCTCTTCCTAAACAAGAAAGTTTGCAAAATTGTTAACATGTTCTAAAATGTGGCTGAAGTTATATTTTACATACTTTAACTTCTTATATGTACATTATGCAATTAACATTTTAACCATGTTTTCATTGTACAAGACCATAAACATTCCCTAATAAAACCACACTAGCCACAGAGGAATTTTACCCATGTATATATTTCTTTGAAACATTTTCCCAAAATGAAATTGCTCATTTAAAATTGAACAACTGGAGAGTTAACTTCCTTAGATAATTAGGGTCAAGTAGTCCCGGAAATGAAATAAAAGTATATTGCCTTGGTTGAATATAACTAAATTCAAGTAGCAGAATGATAAGCACATCAAATATCACTGAAATTCTATGAAAGTTCACTCTGCACTTATGAATCTACATTAAAGAAAATGGCAAGGCCTGGAAGGGCAAAAATTCCTTTTATCTTTATATGTGGGTCTACTTATAAAAATTTATTTCTACCACCTTGGAGGAAACCCATGTGGCAGATGTCTGCAAAGGATTGTATTATGTAGCATAATGGAGAACAAAGAAATATCCTGTGGGCATGTTGATAAGGGTCCCAAAATATTACCTGGTAAGAGGGTTCTGGGTTTTTTTCTTGCTTAGTATATATAATATCTTAGGCAGTGAGGAGACAAGTACATTTAAATAGTTTTTAAAAATTTGTGACATTAAATGTCAAACTCAAATTTTTAATGATAAAACAGAGAACTACAAAATGAGAGAAGGAAGCAGAGATATATGCTGTATGAGGAAAATGTTAAATCTCTTACCTAAAAAAAGGTCTTCCTATAATGATTAAATTGCCTATCCTTAAAACCACTGGAATATGTAGGTTACTGACATTATGCCAAAGAAATCAAAATGTACTTTATTGCAAAAATATAAAAGTTTTTAAAATTGCATATGATGATTTTTTTATACCATTTCACCAATAGGCCAAGACCAGCACATAACTTATCAAGCCAGGAAAACTTTAAAACAAAAATAATTAAAATTGTACTTACTATATATAATGAGTTGTGAAAAGAAGGTGAGGCAATGCTGTAGAGCATGATCATTGCCAAGTTCCCTCTTACATGGGCACAGTCACTAATATGTCCATCTGAGTAAGTGAAAACACAGGTTGCCTATGATAACTTTCATTTTTGTTTTGAACACAGATACTTTCACTATTTTACAATCGTGAATAAGCCATTTCGTCAAATCATAATTTTGTGGAATAGAAAGTCATTTTATCAGTATGTCAATGTTTTTTATAATCTACTCTTGAGAAAGTGATGTTAAAGCCTATTGACTATTAAATCACTACTCTGTTTACTGATACATTGTAAATGTAAAAAAAAAAAGGAAAAAATCTGAAATCACAGAAAATGCTTGGCATCTACACAAACACATTCTCAGTGGACTAACCACTACTGTGTAATTCTGTCACTATAGGTCTTCTTGCTCCATACTTTTGCTTCATGCAGTGGGTTCAACAATATCCATATTTGTTCCAAACAGGGCAACTAATTGTTCTTCATAGGTGGCGATGTTCCTTTTCATAATTTCCATGCAAGGTCCCAAAAGCCTTTCAAATGCTTGCACATCCATGGCTAAGAAAAGGAGAGAATAAAAGAAAAATAACACTCATTGCAAATCTGCATTATTTCTATGTCATTTATGATACTCACTGCACAGGTCACAAGTGCAGTAGTATTTTTAGATAAATATCAGAAACAAGAAAAAGGCATAAAGATAAAGATACTCTACTTCAAAAAGGAAATAGCCAGGGTCCCTTCACAATGTTAAGTGGAAAGCTTAGGTGGGAGGGAGGTCCATCACCCACATTGAGAAAGGAGTAAGCAATGGTTACAGCAAGGCGTTGGAATTAAAACGAATAAATTAGTTACCCTCTAAGTAATATCAATTCCTCAGAGGCACCAAGAGAATATTTTCTATCCTGTTTTCCCTTCTCAGGGTTTACAATGGCAAGTAATGAAAAACAACTGTTACCTTTTATAATTTTTATTGTTTTATAGTCTCATCTAGTCACTTCAAAATGGCAGCCAATATGCTTGTCCATTGCCTATTTCATGCAATTTTAAGAAACTGAATTTATAAGCCACACATGGAAAATATGATCATAGTCTCTACCATGAAAATACAATTTCATCTTTCAAATTTGTAAAGCTAAGAAAGATAATCTTTAAAAAATACAGTGAATGGATATTCTTGCACTGCTGGTAACCTGTAAATTGATACAATTAAAAAGGATCTGGCAATATATATCCAAAGTCATAAAAAGAAACCCACTTCTGAAAAACATTTCTAAGGAAAAATTTTTATATATGGAAAAGTAGTATAGGCATACACAAAGAAGCTCGACCTCCCCTTACCCTGTAAAAATGGAACCCAAACCCTCAAAATATTCACCAGTGGGGAATGATTAAATAATTTATGATGTGTATATTTATCTAATATGTTACAATTTGATATAAGGAAATGAGAAAACACCTAATCTATAATAAATGGAAAAAAGCATTTTATGAAATTGTTTAAAAACAGGAAACCCATGTAAATAAAATGATGAGAAGGATTATACTAAAATGTGAAAATCACTGGGGGTGGTGATAAGGGTGACGCTTATTTTCCTTTTTTCTGTATTTTTCAAACTTTCTTTAATGCGAATATAATTATTATAGAAAAAAATTAATGGAATTTCACTCTTATTACCTTGACTCTTACCGTCTAATATATCCACTCAGGAAAATAACCTGTCAGTTTCTAATTGTCTTTTCTGTCATCCAAGTATAACACTTGATTAATATTATACTTTTTAAAACCCTTTAAAAAGTGATTTCTCTCAGTTAATTCTGAGCATACCTGCAAACCTTAAGGACACTAAAGCTAAATTCATACTAGAATAAAGAACATAGAGAAGCTAATAACTTGAATTTTTTTTAAAGAAAATGTCATCTATATGCTACCTCCTGAATAATTATTATCAAAGTAAGTTATTTCTTCTATATAAAATCTCACATATATACAGATGTCTTCTAGTCCAAAGATGGCATTTCTGTCAAGCTATAGGAAGTAACAGAGAGCTGAACAGAGAAAAAAAAAAAATTTTATATTTTGGAAGTATATGACCCCTCTGGTGGCCACCAGAGTCCACTGTGCTCCATCCCCTTTTTGTTCTCACCCCTTTTGTACCCTTCTCCTCCTCTGGATGCTTCAATTCTATAGTCAGCTTTCAAGGTTGGTTTTCATGCATTCCACATATAAGTGACACCATCCAGTATTTATTGAACAAAGAAAATTTTACAGTGCTTTACAAACCTGAGCTCTTATTTCCTGGGACCAGTCTAATGTGGAGACAGAGCTTATTGTACTGCGTAAAAATATTGTCTTAGCCTTTGTTTTTGAGAAACAGTGCATGTTATTTGGAAGATTAGCTATAAAACTGAGCACTCGGAATTCTTGTTTTAACTACTACAACGTTATTTCATGCCCATTTGAAAGATATATATGAGTATATGTGTGTCTGTGAACATTTTTAAAGAAAACAATGGCTCCCACAAACTAATTTTATAATGTAATGAATACTAGCCATATATTTTGTGGGGACAGTAAAACTTGCGAAACCAGTGGCATGATCCATGCAAAGTGAACATGTAAAATGCAGACATGACCACTGCCGGTGGGAGAAGCGCCCCACCGCCGAGCTCCTACCTAGACACTTGACTGTCCCGATGGCGTGCGCAGAGGCTGCTCGAGGCTTGTTAGTGACCAGAGCGAGTTCTCCGAAGTACTGTCCCCGAGAACACCGTGCGATCTCCACGGCACCATTCTCTTCCACTTCTGATTTACCCTGACAAGGTAATTAAAAGTATTAATTTTATTCAGCTTAGGAAAAATATTTAACCATAGTCCAAACATTAAAAAAATAAATCTAGGTTCCTTGCAAATTTGTGAATGCTTTCTGGTGGAAATTATGTGGGTTTTAGGACTTTCAAAAAAGCTTACCTTCCTTTTCATGGTAATTTTTACTTCTCCAGATTCTACAATGAAAAAGGAATCTGCCAAATCTCCCTATCAGAACAAAACAAAAACACAGGGTAAAAATACAAGTCTAGTGACCACAGCCCTACTGTCTATCAGTCAGTCCTGCTGTCTGCCAGTCAGTCCAACCCCAAGATCCAGTGAGATCTCCAGGAACAGACCACCTGGCTCTCTAAAATGACAGGTGGTGATTGACAATTACAGGGTAACAATTTTATTTGTACCAATTATCTGAAATAATATAGTATTTTTGCTAAAACTAAACACGGAAATATGGCAAATAATACAGTGTAAGAGTTTCACCCCAATTTTAGCTTGGAAAACAGCAACCCCAGTTAAACAAGGAGCCCCAATGCCCAGCATCTGCTGTGGCAGGTGGGTGTTGGCCTATATGTGCTCCTCAAGAAGTGCTCATAGGTGCTGCATGCCCCCGTTGCTCATGAGACCGGCCTCCACATGGTGACCCGAGATAACTCACCCACACCCAGACTTAACAGGAAGCAGATGTGGCCCCAATGCCTTTACTGCAGTGCCCGAGACTCCAACTTACTGACAGTCACCTTCAGGCATCGACCAGACTTCTAAAATAAGGGTGGCCATTTCTAACTCTATACCTGTTTTTTCTTGTTTTTGTTTTTAAACACTCTCTGCCTTGGTCTCCAAGGATGCCTCCTGAATTAAATAGTATTCGAGAAAAGGTAACAGGCACTGCCTTCTTGGAGCCTCTCACAGTGCTGCTGGAGAAACTCAGGTATTTCTTTTTTTTTTTTTTTTTGTGGGACCCTTGCCGGTGGCTGGGGATCGAACTGGTGCTGCAGAGGCTGTGGGCAGCCTCGCAACCCAGCGCTCAACCGCTGCACCACCAGGGGAGGCCCTCAGGTATTTCAAAACCACTCTAGTACAATTCAAGAAAGATGGGCTCAGATTTCATCTCAAAGATAATGAAATTTGTATACTATGGCACAGACATGTATATTTATAAATGCTTAAAAGGCAGAATAGTGAACAATAATCTTAAACCCAAAGGCTAGTTCATGTGTGTCAATATTCCTTTAGCTTTTTAACAGGTTTTCACACACTTCACATTCAATTTGAATGTTTTAAATATAACAGGTCTATCGATTGTTGTGAGATTTCCTTTTTAAAACACATTCTACATGCATATGACAGGGGGAACCAGGGGAGGGTCTGCGGGGTATGCTGAGCCCTTTCCAGCCCTACTGTGATGCAATGTGCACTGGCAGTAACTGGGTGAAGAGCACATGGTTGCTTTGTACTATTTTTGCAACTTCCTTCAAACCTATAATGATTTCCAAATAAAAAACTAAGGAAATCATTTAAAAAGTGTGCTCTATACTTGATTGTTTATCAACTTCATATAGTGGAACCTTAGCCTGGTTTTCCAATTTGACTCTATGTCTTCCCATACCCTATCTCTGATTATTATAATCTCTGTGTGTGTGAGTGGTGGGGGTTAATTTACTCACTTATTTGCCTTCTTAAACAATTACTCTTTCCTTAGTCTGTTTCACATATATCAAAAGGAGAGATAATATTTTAGATAAAGAGCACAATACAGTATAATACTGTAATGCAAAATTACAGGATCTATTAAAAATCTATTTAAATCATTTGAGACTTCAAAATCTAACTAGGAAATAAGGTGCTATCATCTATATGCTTTATCTGTAAATTTCAAATATCTTCAGAAATCCTACATCTTGCTAGCTCTATTCTCATAAAGGTATGTAATATATTACTGTTTCCAGCTGGGTGTTCCCTTTTTAATTAATTTTTTCAGGGAGCAACCTCAGGAAGATTTTATCATGAACAAATAAGCAAAGCTCTGTATATCTTCCAGGGTGCCTCTGCAGCCTCATTAATCTCACGGGACAGTCTCCTGTTTATTCCTCTCATAAACAACATCTTAATCATTCTATACCTGTGAATTTCATGTCATGAACAAATATAAAATTATGCAGAAGTCCATTTAATGATTTAATATATATTCATTAGTGGTTAATTATATAAATAAAAATGTCTAGATAGTTTAATGGTTAAAAATTAAACCACTTTTAACAGGTCATTTGGTAGAAGACATATTCATTTAACCCTGTCTCTTCATTTAAGGCCTGTGTCTTTATTCATACTAAATGTAGACACACATGAAAAGTTTATCAAGATTTATAATGTGTGAGAACCTTTTGGGCTATAATTGTAAGTTGAATTACTAGGAAGTATTGTACCTGAGCAATGATTTGTTCTCCATCGTTGTATACTTTAGTGCCTATCACGTCTACCACTTTCAGGCGTTCAGAAACCTATAGAAAAAGAAGCCAATGTTGCATTAAGTAGACTAATTGTATAATCTTATCTATTTCAAAGTTAAAACCTGATAGCCTGCAGGCCACATAAACCCAGTGTGAGAGTTTGTATGTGTGTGTGCTTGGTGTGTGTGTGCTTGGTTGCCAGCACCGGAAAATAAATTTCTCATAAAAAAAAAATCAATTTTCCAACTTCCCTTGGAAACCAAGAGACTCAGCAACACTCAGTGCCTGTTTTCACAATAAACTACGTGGATCAGCAGCTGTTTCTTGAAATACAGCATGTGTTCTCCATATCACGAAAGCCTCTTCCCAGCTTGCTTTTCTTCATTATGTTACTTGCCTGGTTCTGAAGGCACTGGATTCCCAACCCCTAATCTATTTTTATTGAAGGAGATATTCTGCTAGAGAAGATCAACTGCTTGATGTGCATTCTGTATTGTGTCCAGAATTTCTACCAGGCATAAAACAACAATCCAACAAGGAGTTATTTCAGTAGATGAGTCAGCCCTAACCCCCAGGTTTTGGCCAAGATGCTGGAAGGTTAGTGCAGTCATTCACTGAGACAGGGACAAGGAAAAGATTTGGCCCATGTTAGGTTTGAGATGTCAGATACCTGGGAGAAAATGTTAAGTGTTCAGTTGAATAACAGCCCAGAACTTAAGGAAGGGACTTTGCCTAGCAATGTCAACTATCAGAGGCACGAGCATGCAGACAGTATTTAAAGCCAGGGGATGTGACAAGTTCACCAAGTGAATAAATGCAGCATTAAAAAAAAAAAAAAGAAGATCCTGGAATGTTAATTCCAAGAGGAAAGTAGAAGAGACTGTAAAGGAATAGAGCAAAAATGACCGAGGAGACCAGTGGAATAGTCTGTATCGGGCAACTTCTCCCAATGAAGGCTTAACTAGAAGCTATTGCTTACGTTTGTATGATATTTTAAGTTGCCTTTTAGATAAAGACCACATATAAATCTTCTGTAGATGCTGGTAGGAGTCTGTTACTTGTAAACCACAAAACTAATGCAGTTTTAGGTAGTAAAAGAAATACTGGGTTGTACAAGCACCATTAATTTTTTCACATGAAAACAGGGGTAGGTTTTTATTCAAAGAAATTTTTCTATAGAATTAAATATTGTTAGCAAAATGAAAGCTTTTAAAGCAAAATAAAAGCATAAACATATACTTACTTCCAAAGATTTAAGGAATGGCAGTGACTCAATAAAGCTTTCATACATTTTTCTCTTTTTGGCATTATTTTTTACAATTATTCTCCTGAAGGTTACCCTGTCCTAAAGGCAGAATATCAAATACAGAGAAAGTTAAAAATTAGACTTTGTGAGGAAAAATGTCCTAAGAGATAGTTTTACTTTATTTTTCATAAGGAACAAACGATAATCAAAATTTTGAAATAAAGGATGACAATTATTATACCTTTAATGCAAATCAATTCAGATTTTTAATTTAAGTATGAAATATAGAGCAAGATCTCTTCTCTTCTCTTCTCTTCTCTTCTCTTCTCTTCTCTTCTCTTCTCTTCTCTTCTCTTCTCTTCTCTTCTCTTCTCTTCTCTTCTCTTCTCTTCTCTTCTCTTCTCTTCTCTTCTCTTCTCTTCTCTTCTCTTCTCTTCTCTTCTCTTCTCTTTCGTTTTCTTTTCTTTTTTAAGAAAGCACCGGTTTACTTCTATTCAAAGAGCAACCATATCAACATATAATTGGGATATTACCACAAGGTGGTGCTACAGCACCGTTAAAAATGATGGAGTTTTTCCTTCCACCTTTGCAATAATTGACTTCAAATATTATGTAAATTTAAAGTGTACAGCAGTAGATTTGATACTTATACATTACAAAATTATTACCAGAGTAGGCTTAGTTACCGCCTCTACTACCTCATAATTACCATTTTCTTTTTTGTGGTGAGAACATTTAAGACCTACTCTCCTAGCAACCTTCAAGGATATAAAACAATATTATTCATTTTAATCAGCATGCTGTACATGAGAGCCTAAGAACTTATTCACCTTAGAGCTGGAAGTCTGTACCCTCTGACCCATATTTCCTCCACCCCAGAGTCCCTGGCAACCACCCCTGCGCAGTGTGTTTCTGTAAGTTCTCTTACTGTGGCCACCAACCCCAGACTGTTACCAAATCAAACAAGGTCAGCATTTTTATAAAAAGTCAAGTAGAATTTTAAAAAACTCAGAGTGTGTCCCTTGCAGTGAAGCCCTGGTGTAGTTAACTCTTTCGGTTATACAGACACACAAAGAGATATACTGTTTTATGTATATAAATATCAAATGGCATAATGTTGCTTTGTTTCTTAATATGGGTTACAGTGAAAAATACAGGAAAGACTTAGAAATACTTTTTCATAACAAGGCAATTATAATGTAAAAGATTCTGAAAAACTATTTAGGTTTTTTGCCACATCCTACACTACGTCAGTTTTATTAGTTTTTAATGTGAAGGCACAAAGAAGCTGCAATTTTACCAAGTGGAGTCTCACTCCAGAGTTCACCAAGCTCATCCTTTTATAACATTCCTACTTGTTTACTGCTTAACCCAAAGATGCAGAACTCAATTAAGGTGCTAGGGAAATTTTATAAGATCACAGCTTAAAAGATGGTTTTCTTATAACTTATGAAACTGTTCTTAACTAAAAGTCCTCAGAATTATGTTAGCTTGGCCCACATGAATAAATAATTATACCCTTTTAATATCAAATCAAATTAATTGGGAAATGTTCTTTGTGCCAACATATTAAAGCTGAATTTAAATGAACTGATGCAAGGAAGAAAACTGCCAATGTGGATATAAGTTTCTAGGAAATGAGCGTCCTGTTCTTCAATTTAGTTTATTACAATTTTACAATGACTGTAATTTGGACTTGTATGCATAATAATTTTTTCCAGGAGAGAAAATTTTATAATCAGTAAAAATATTGAAATAATTTCTAAGCCTCATTCTGCATCAGAATCAGCTGGAATGTTTTAAAAAAAAAATTTCCGAGACCCCCAGGCCCTCTAATGACTCAAAATCTCAGCATGTTGGGCTCAATAATCTGTCATCATAAACATATGATTCTGATAAATAATCAGGTTTGGGAACCAGCTGCAACATCATTTCTATAGAGTTTATTGCAAAGCAGAGAAGTCTAGAAACAGCTGAGTGATTTAGAAATTAGCCACATAATTCTCAGCAAGAATTTTCTATTAGCAGTCTCCCTCTTCTCACAACCAGTGAGACATCTGAAGTCTAGAAAGTCCCATTTCAAATGTTTTCATTCAGCCATCTCAGTTACGGCCTCTCTCAATCATTGGCGTGGGCCTGTGGATCAGTTAATCCCCAAGGCTGGCAGTGACATAGTATCATGAGAGCTCTATAAAGGACTTTCCTCTTGGAATCTGCTTATCTTTACACCTGCGTTTGCATGACAGTGTTCGAATCTGTTGGTTTAAGAGAAAAATTTCTTATGTACTTGACTTTCCCTGAAAAGGGTCAGTGGGGCAACCTGTGCTGAGGAAGCAGGTTCGAAGTTTTAATTATTTATGTTCATTGTTTTGATTCTTTTTTAAAAAGTTACTGTATTTAGGCACATATCACCCAAGATGACCATCACAACCTGTCCACTTTATAAAGTCTGGTGACATGTGTAGTAAATAAACATCTCCAGAATTGCTCAGTCCTTCTTGGAAGCTTAAGTGGTAGCACCTCCATGAAGAAAGGCCGAACATTCACGCCTACATTAAGGATCCATTAGGGCTGGAAACCAGCAGTATTCAAAGGGGCAAACCTGAAAAATACGTGGTCTTGTACCAAGAAGATTTCAGGAGGGAGGTGACTTCCTGCCAGTGACCACCTGACCCTGGCAGCCCCATCAGGATGTTCCTACTTTGTTTTCTTTGTTTGCATTTCAAAAACTAAAATTTATTTTAATATGAAACTTAACGTTTGTGTTTTTTCCTTCGTAGCTTATTTTTTTTCTATGAATTCATTTCTGATCTTAACTGTTTATATGAATTCAGATTTTCTTGATCTGGGTAATTCTTTTCAAATTTCTTGAATTCAAAAATATTCAATACAAAGTTAGGTTTGGTGTGATCATACTTTAAAACAATGCCTCACTTCATGAAAGAGGTGTGGGTAGGCTCTAGCTTATCCTGCTTCTCTGTGATTGGCCAGCATGTCCCAGGAACCAAGTCTGCTCTGGTTTGGAGTTTTTACTTGTTTGGCCTTGGGTGTTCACACCTTTTAGTCCTTAAAACACATTACACGGTGTGTTTTCTTCTGCCTGAAACAAATCTTATTTTTCCTCTACAACTTCAAATGTGACCCCTCACATTTTTTATAAGTAAACAGTAGCTGCCTAGTCCTAATAAAATGTACAATATGCCTTGTTTCTCTTATCAAGAGCTATTTTTATCAGCTGAATCCACTTCAGAGTCAAATGCTGAGTTGAGATCGATGGGTCACTTCTGTAAGCTACGGTCCTGGGGAAAGGAGAGTGCAGACAGACTTCAACCTGGCCTCCTTCCTCAGAAGAATTTGAAACAAACCCCCTGATCAATGCACATTATGACTGGAGGGTGTGCCATTTTCAAGATACTTAAAAGAAAACACAAGTACTGGAAACATTCCCCCAAGTCAGTGCTGTTTAGAGTGAGTCCTGAGCACAGGCAGTATGGAGTCTCCCAGGAGCTTCTGAGAAACAGAGTCGCAGGCCTCTTCCCAGACTCTCGAATTCCAATCTGCATGTTAAGTAGGATTCCCAGGTGGTCTATGAGCACCTTCAAGTCCGAGAAGCACCAGTTTCCAGCTTCCAGAACCAGCTCCACGCGTGCCTGCAACCCGATCCCATCTGCAAGATTTGTAATTGACTTCTAATGTCACCATTAAGACATATGAACAGCCTGGGTTCTACCCCCAGAGAGCTGAATTCAATGCCCCTGTGATAGGGCTTATAAGAAGATTGTTTTTAAACACCCCAAGTAATCCTGATGTGCATCCCAGGTGGGAGGCATAGGCCCAGAGGTACTTTTTTCTGTACGCAGCTGCTTTTCAATGCTAAGTTGTTACAAATCAACTTATATACCACCTGAGAGTCATTTAAAAATAGTGGTTTCCCAAACTCTTGGGGCATTGGAATCACCTGGTGGGCTTGGGCCAACACAGATGACTGGGGCCTACCTCCAGAGTTTCTGACTCGGAGGGCCCCAGCCAGTAGGTGGGCCCCAGAATGGACATTTCTAGCAAGTTCCCAGGTGATACAAATGCAACTGGTTGGGGGACCACTTTAAGAATCACCCACTTATCACATTGTAATACCTCAAGGAACTACCTGAGAAAACAAGGCTGAAAGGCTTTGTGTGGATACTTGTCTTTTAAGAGCAACATAAGAGGAGCATTTTAGATTTGAGTCTTTCCTAGAGCCAGCTGGTGAAGCTTCTGACTCTACTCCACTTGTGAAAAGAACACGAGATTTAACACAACAGTCCTAGTCCCCAGCGGTTCAGCATCCAAGTAGTGGCTTAATAAATTCCCAGATGATCAATGTTTCCAAATCCACCTATTAGGACTAAAATACCGTATCTACCTACTTGACTCTTGTCATAATGATTTTAACAAGTAATAACATCCAGGTCAAATGAATCCGCCACTCACCAAGCCCCACAGGGCGCCAGGAGAGGTAGCTGTGATTGTAGCTGCTCTGGGTGTGTTGTACATTAAGGCCAGTTCGCCGAAACTCCCCCGATTATCGTAATTACCCACACATCTTCCGACACCTTCACATTTGACGTAAATATCAAAGGTTCCTCTGTTGGACATAAGTAAATTAGAGGTTAAAAAAATAATTTCAAGTAGATTCCCATTACAATAAATATTATTTCAGGGGTGAGATTGCAATAAAATCTCATTTCCAGCCTCCCTTTCCCTCTGAAGATGAGTAAGGTGCCAGTCACTATCTGTTCCAGGACATAGAGACCATCAACCAGACTAGGCAAAGGACCATGCTTGTGCCTGCTGGGGAAAATGGGACTAAACAAGAAAAATTTCAGATAAAGAAACGACAACAATATGACTAAGACTGCTTGAGACAGCGCGTGCACTGACAGCATATGTGCAACCAACAGTCACCTCTGGGCGGAGGGAATGGAGGGACGCTGGGGACATTCACCCTCTCATGGGAGGGTTTTATTGTTAAGAATTAGGTGAGTCATTACATTACAGCACCCACGAGGGTCCTTGATAATGTAAAGGAGGGGCTGGCAACCATGATGTTCAGACTGGCCACCTGGTGCTGTAAATCGTCTCACCAGCACACAGGCAGCATGAGTGGTTGTGACAGATCACAGGCCCGCAAATCCCAAAATATTTACTCTCTCCCCTTTACATCATCTGGTCCTTTACTTAGATTTGCCTCCTACCCCCATTTTAAAGTTAAAAAGTGCCAGAAATTCAGACTACCTGGTCCTGGTCTTTCAGTCGTTTTTCTGAGCTGATCTTTTAACTGGAGCTCTCTTACTAGGCAAATAAAGCTCAGTTTGCTTGACACAACATTATCTGCTATCCAGGCCCTATATTTATATAAACTACATTCTTCTTGTGAAGGACTGTCCTTGTGATAGTGTATTTTAACAGAGAGCATGGTCTGAAGGCTCGCTGAAGCACCTGTGAGGCCAGACAGCAGAAATTTTTTGGCTTTATCCTACTGGCTAAACCTAACAAAGACAAAGGTGGGAGTGATTTTAAGATTAGAAAAAGATGGGAGTGATTTTAAGATTAGAAAAGGAGGGCCTCCCCGGTGGCGCAGCGGTTGAGCGCTGGGTTGCGAGAGGCTGCCCGCAGCGTCTGCGGCGCCGGTTTGATCCCCGGCTGTTCCCCCGCCACCGGAGGAGGGTCCCACATGGCGCGCAGACCTCTCCTGCCGCCCGCTGCTCCCCTCAGCAGTGTACTTCGGTCCTTCTGCCTGCTCTGCTCCCCGCTCTGGCTCTGGTGAATTCTCTCACCCTCCCGGGCTTCTGACTGTGCCCAGTGCATGTATAAACAAAACAAACAAATAAACAAATAAAGCATGCCTCTATTAAAAAAAAAAAGATTAGAAAAGGATCGTGAATGGTAAAGATACAATAAAAGCAAAAACGTAGATGACGGTTTTAATGAACAAGAACAACTGGTTTTTAATATATGTCATGGAAAAAACAGCTATTTCAAGGATGCACTCTAGAATTTGTTTCAAGAATAAATTCTTCTATATACGCCCTTGCACTAAAACCATTTTCTACTTTGGATAGGATAAAATACAGAACAAACGTGCTGCTGAGAAGTAAAATGAGCGAACAGTCCTATTAAAATCACGTCAGTCTAAAATCTGCTAAAATACTGTGCTCGTCTTTCCTATGGATTTCCTCCCAATAAATGGGCAGGTGGTGGCCTCTGGCAGTGTGGAGCAATGGGGAGCAGAGGTGGTGTCCCGAGACAGGCCCCACTGCACTACACCTGGGTCACTGTCACCAACTCCCGAGCTGCTTTCCCGAGCGCTTTCTTTCATCCTCAAATGGGTGCCTAGAATCTAACCCAAATGGGAATGTACTACATACATACACAAGGCAGATTTTATCATCAAAATACCTACTAAAAGGTTATTCCTGTATTATATTCAGATTTCTCATACACCCCTACACTTAAATACAATTAAACAGCTGAGTGAGTTTCTGAGGCACTTTACTGACAAAAGTTGTTAAATAGACCAAAATCATGATTTGAACTCACAATGGGACAAATGGTTCTTTTCTATTCTAAAATCATAGTGTCTGCCCTGGCCCTGTGGGCAACAGCTTCCCGATCACCAGGGTGCTAGGTCTGAGGGAATGAGGGCACCAGAGAAAACACTGGACCCGCAGAGCTCATGCTACTGATGTTTGAAAGATGCCACCCACAGAGCAAGATCAAGAAATGGGGCCTGAGGAGACAGATGGTGTGTGACTTTCAGCAAGGCCTCTGAGTTAAACACAGCTCTACCCAAGAAGGAACTATAATCCAATAAATCAGGCTGGGAGATGATCTGCCTTCATCTGAATGGGCTGAAGACACCAAGTAACTCGTAAACATTTCACCACTGCCTCACAAACACAAGAAATAAAGGCTGTTCTGACAGCTCCCATATTACATTTGTGAACTCTAATCACACTATTCTTTGATGAAGTAAAGCACAACTTAAGTTTTCTGAAGTTAGAGTTCCAATATAAATGCATGCATTCCTGTTTAAATAAAATGATTTCTCTAGAGAGTTTAAAAAAGACAAATAGAAGAATGTACAATTTTTTTTTAAGATTTATTTATTTATACAAGAACTGGGGTACAGTCAGAGGCACGGGAGGGTGAGAGAATTCACCAGAGGCAGAGCGGGGAGCAGAACAGGCAGATGGACTGAAGACACTGCTGAGGGGAGCAGCGGGCGAGTTAGGAGAGGTCTGCCTGATATGTGGGTTTCTCCCTGGCCAGCCGGGAATTGAACACGTGCTGCAGAGGCTGCGGACAGCTTCACAGCATGGTGTTCAACCCGCTGAACCATGAGGGAGGACCAAGAATGAACAGTTTCTGGAAGGAACTCAAACTATTCACTTTAAGGATATTGAAACAGTAAGAAGAGACTTTTTTTTAACTTTATAACCCTCTGAAATATATACATTTTTACACCACAACCATGTTTGACTTTATAATTAAAAAGAGCCCTTTAAAAACCACAACAACAGGTTGAGATACACTGTGATTCAACATCCCAGGTGCTGGATTAGGTTCTAGTCTCACTGTAGTAAGTATTTGTCACATACTACCTACCTCTCAAAAGGAAATTAACAAATGAGGATGCCCACAGTAAATGGTTGAGATTCAGAAATTAACCAAAAATCATCGATTTTTCTATAAACTATGCCTCTTTTCATGATCTAGTGTAGGTCCACTGCACGATTCATAGCAGTAGGAAAAGATATAAGTGGAAAATACAAGTTGAAGAAATAAAACGTTCGTACAGTGCCTACTATGTAGTCTGAAAGAGTAACAGCAATAACAACTATCACAGTACTTTGTCAATAGTTATAACACTGAGATTTGACACAGAAGTTGTGCAAAGCTTACCTATCAATCACGTAAAAGTTGTCACCATCATCACCTTGATCAATCACGTGTTCCCCTTCTTTGACCAGTTTTTCAAACATGGCATCTAATACTTGAGACATCTGCTCCTATTTTTCAAAAGAAAAGATATAATCTTTATGTCTATCTAGAACACATTTTACTCAAGTAAGCACCGTTACCTTATAATTCCGTGAACAAGATCAACTAAATGCAAATATCATTGCCATTAAGTCTTGTCAAAAAAACAAAACACAGCAGTCTTCTATACCACGTGCCAATGAGATGATTATATATTTACTCTCACATTCAGTACCTGAATAAAAGTAATTAAATTAGTCTATTTCAGAATATTTGCAATCACTTTAAAATGAAAAATTAACCACCAAGTCACCATATACCTTATGAAATATAATCTTAGCAACTAAAACAACCAGATTTGTGAAGAACTATTGCAAACATCTTTTAAAGATCTGTTTTTTAAAACTTCCCAATATCAGTCATCCTAGATTTATGTAGCAATTACCCAAATAACTGTGGATTCAAATCCTGGCTGCAATCCTTTTTGGTTTAGCACCAAGACCAAAACAGAACAAAGTAGAAAAACAACAAAAACAAAAGCAAAAATGATTGTGGCAAACATTTTCTATCACTAAGGTTCTCTTCAGGAAGCAACTATTTACTTCCCAGGACATATTTACTCAAATTGAAACAGAAACATCAAAGCTATTACTCAACAATCACTTAAAAACTATGTAGGGTTTTTATTTGCTACAGTGTGGTTGGCGAGGCTTTAAGAATTTTATTTATTGGGCCTCCCCAGTAGCACAGCGGTTGAGCACTGGGCTGCGAAGCTGCCCGCAGCCTCTGCAGCACCGGTTTGATCCCTGGCCACCGGCAAGGATCCCACATGGCGCGTAGACCTCTCCTGCCACGCCCACTGCTCCCCTCAGCAGTGTACTTCGTCAGTCTGTCTGTTCTGCTCCCTGCTCTGGCTCTGGTGAATTCTCTCACCTTCCCGCGATTCTGACTGTACCCAGTGCTTGTATAAATAAATAAATAAATAAAATCTTTTTTTAAAAAATTTATTTATTTATTTTAAGATTTATTTATTTATTTATACAAGCACTGGGTACAGTCAGAAGCGCGGGAGGGTGAGAGAATTCACCAGAGCCAGAGCGGGGAGCAGAGCAGGCAGAAGGACTGAAACACACTGCTGGGGGGAGCAGCGGGCAGCAGGAGAGGTCTGCACGCCATGTGGGACCCTCCCCCAGGAGGCCGGGGATCAAACCAGTGCTGCAGAGGCTGCGGGTAGCTTCGTAGCCCAGTGCTCAACTGCTGTGCCACCAGGGGAGGCCCTTTAAGAATTTTAAACTTCAGCTAATGAGTATAAACCTGTAGGTGAAAGAAACCTTTCCTCAGAACAAATACAGAAGCCATTCAAAGACATTTGACTGGATGGAGCAAATGCAAATGGAGACAAAGCACAGTGTAGAGCACCAGAAAAGTCAAGGTGTAAAAGGGTCATTTGTTATTTACTACATCTGAATACCTGGTCAGGTTACTGCCCATGGATATAAAAAGGTACAACGCTTACTCTTCAGGTCAAAATCGGTTATTATTAGAAATAAACTAAAGGGCTCAAGATAAGAAGGAGGAAAAGATGTAAATGGAAAATACAAGTTGAAGAAAGAAAATGAAGAAACAAAATCACGACATGTGATTCTCTTCTTTTTGAGACTCATTTCACAGAGGAGAAGAGGAACACATCAATGACAGTGTGGTGTCTGGCAAGGGGCACTTAATGGGCATGGGATTTCCAGAGCAAAGGTAAGTCAAATGGGGGAGGCGAGAGAGTGCATGAGGCGGGCAGATGGGCCTGCAGTGTGGAGGAGCCACCACCAGGCTCCTGACTGGGAAATGCCTGGATCAGGCAGGGAATGAGATGCAGCTGGAAAGAGGCAGATTGATCCAAAGTCCTACAGGATCAGGCAATACCTTCCTCCCAAGTGCCTCCACCCTGACCACCCCAGCAGTCAGGTATTGCTCCGAACAAGAGAGCAGAGTCAGAGTCTTAGGAGAAATTAAACAAAATATAACTAAAATAGCTATTGGCATATTTACTCAATATGGAGTTGGTGCCCAGTAGAACTAGCACCTTCACTTGCGGGGACTTTGGGGGGCTCACCCATGTAACAAGTGGTTCCTTCTCTGCTCTATCTCAAAGTAACCCTGATTTTCCAGAACTCTTAAGTCAGGTTCAAATAATTTTTAAAGCAGTTTTAGGTTCACAGTGAAATTGAGTAAAAAGTACAGTATTCTCACATATCCCCAACCCACCATCCACCCCACAGCCTCACCCCTACTGTCAACATCCACTGATGAACTTGCGTTGACACATCCTTGTCACTCAAGTCCACAGTTTCCATTCGGGTTCATTCTTGTTGCTGTATATCCTAAAGGTTTCAACAAATTTACCCACCATTACAAAATTTTGTATAAAGCAACTAAAGGGATAGGAATATTAGAAGCCTCAAAGAAAGCTGGAAAGACAGACAACCCAAAAAAAGTGATAATCGAGAAAGCAAAGGGGAGAAAATAATCAAATACTGAATGAGTTTTCTAGACCCAATGCACATGAATTTTCAGACTATATGGGCAGTCGAGTGCAAGCACAGCCGACAACCAAAAACTCCACAACGACAGTGTGGGTTTAGAGCACCAAAGGTATAGAACAGATCTTTAGAGCTTCCAGAATGAAGGGGGGAGGTGCTCTTAGAAATGCAAAATGATGTTCAGCTCCTCACCAAATAAAGAGAAGTGCAAACAAATTACAATTGAAATGAGATACCAATTTTCACCTGTCAGATTCAAAAAGATTCAAATGTCACAGTGACAGGTTGTGTTGGAGATGTGGGACTGCTTACAGGGAGTAGAAATGGAAAAACTCTAGAGACAGTGTTCTGCCTATATTTAAGAAAATTTCAGTTATGTACACCCTTCAACTAACTGTTGCTTTTCTAGGAAGTTTTCCTATAGATGTGTGTGAGCTGACAGGTACACAGGTCTATTTCATAGCAGCATCATTAACAGTGAGGTTGGAACAAACTCCTGTTTATTTACAGAGCTCTGGGTAACTATGGCATATCCATACATTGGAAAGCTATGCAGCTTTCACTCGTGCATAATATTTTTCAAGGATCATCCCATTGCAGAGCAGAACATACTTCATTCATTCTCATGAGTGAACAGTAATAGCCCCTTGTAAGTATAGACCCCAAATTTGTTTATTCAATTCATCGGTGCATGCACATGTGAGTTGTTTCCACCTTTTCAGGGAACGGTGAATAGTGTGGCTATGAACATGCATGTACCAGTATCTGTTTGAATACCTGTTTATAACTCTTTTGAGTGGATACCTAGGAATGGAATGTTGGGCCATATGGTAACTCTATGTTTAACTTGCTGGAACTGATAAATCTCTTTTCCACTGTGCCTGAACTATTTACACTTTCCCACCAGTAATGTACGTGGTTTCTAATTTCTCTCCATCCTCACCAGCACTTGCTATTTTTCCCTTTTTTAGAATTAAACCCAGCCGAGCAGGGGTGAAGTGGTATTTCACTATTGTCTTGATTTGCATTTCCCTAATGATTAATCACATTGAGAATCTTTCATGTGCTCGCTGGTCATTTTTACATCTTCGCTGGAAAAGCATCTGTTCAAGTTCTTTGTTCATTGTTAAATTGGTTTTTTTTGTTGTTGTTGTTGTTGAATGATAAGAATTCTTTATATTCTGGCTACTAGACATCATACATATGATTTGCAAATATTTTCCCATTATGTAGGTCTTTTCAGGTTTTTTTTTTTTTTTTTGGTATAATGTCCTTCAAGGCACAAAATTTTTATGAAGTCCAATTCATTTTTTCTCTTGCTTCTAATTTTTTAGCATGTACCTAAGCATCCACTATTAAATGCAAAGTCACGAAACTTACCTTGCATTTTCTCCTAAAAATTTTGTTACTTGTAGGTCTTCAATCCACTTTGAATAAATGGTATAAATGGTATAAAGAAAGAATCCAACCTTGCTTTTTTATAGGTGATTACCCAGTTGTCCCACCATTTGTTAGAGAAACTATTCTTTCCTCATTGAATTTTGGCAGCACCCCTGTCAAAATCAAGTGGCATAGATGAAAAAGTTTAGCTCTAGCTTCTCAATCTATCCTGCTGTCTTATATGTCTAGCTCCAAGCCAGCAACACATTGTTTTGATTACCACAGCTTTGGAGTGAAAGTTTTGAAATTGGCAAATGTGAGTCTTCTAACTTTGTTCTTCTTTTTCAATATTATTTGGCATCCAGGAACTCCCCCCTCCCTTGTTATATATGGAATTTTAACACATAAAAACATTAATGTGTTCCATGGTTGAGCTTTAGAACACACATATGTTACCAATTAAACGTCATTTAAAAAGTTAATACCGATAAAGATAATTTTTAAAAAGAATAAACACCGATACACTCAAGTTAAAAAAAAAAGAACAGGGCAACAGACTTTGTAGTCTGTTTTACAACACAAATGTTGTAAAAAACAAGACACTTGTATACACAGAACCTAACTCTGAGAAACCAGGCTGTGAGATTGTGGGGCACGGTGGGAAGGCAGGTTCCTTTCACTGACTACTAGAACTTTTTGCATATGTAGGTTGATTTTAACTTTTTGATTAATTAAAAAATAAAACTCTCCATTTAAGCAGAGATAGTATGGCATCTTCAAGGGGGCTAAGAAAAGCCTTTGGAAGAAAGATGGTGATGCTTATATGGAAAGAATTTTCCACCCCCTGGAGGCCCCTGTGGCGCGCTAGCCCCTATCTGAGGAGCAACAGCCAGGCTTGGGAGGAAGCTGGTGTGGCAGGAGGCAGTGAAACAGTGAAAAGGTGCTTTCTTGATGTGATGCTAATTGGCCCACAGGGACAATTCTGCCCAAATGTGTTCATCGACCCAGGCAACAACATATGGTCACCTATCAAAATTCTGAAAGTTGATTAAAGAGCTTACTAATATTTTGTTTTGCTTACTAGTTATATTTTAAATTCTTAGTGCAGATGCAAGGGGGATATTCATTTTATTGATTGGCTCCGGCTATAAATATCAAAAGGAAACAAAGATGTCGCTATACTAAATTTTTTCATTATCTTGGAATTGGTTGCATTTTAAACACATTATAAAGCTCAATAATTCATACATGGATATATAAAAAAGTAATTCCTGATAAAATAGAGAAAAATTATTTCTTTTAGAACCTCTCTATGACAGGTATCTGCTCTAGTCAATCAAAATGTCATTTCCCCATAATTATGCACAGAGTGAGAAGAACTTAGGAAATATTTAATATGCAGAGCCTTATCATGGTGACTGACAACTATTGGTAGGAAATCCACATCTTATTCTCCTACAAAATGTAAATTTGTGACTGAACTCAGTAAAAGGGTTCTGACTCACTTAAAAAATAACAATTTACTCTCCCTTAATGAAAGAGCCTATCGCATAGCGCAGGAAAATTACTTGAGTTTGCCTCAAATTAGAAATATTTCAGAAGAAAAATGGCCTACTGAGTTGAGCATTAAAATATTCATGAAAAGAACATCTTCAAAGAGATTAATAATTATAAATGCTATGCTCAACGTATGAATATACAGTTTTTCAGAACGAAAAATGTTCGAGGTCTACAAGGTGCCAATAGTTTCAAGCAAAACAATGACTTCAGGAAATTCAAATGAGATAGCAGACACAAAGCCAAGATCACTCCTGTTGCTAGTGAGTAATTCCCCCCTCCTCTTGAAGGGTACCCCTTTTAGGAAAAGGTGCCATCTTCACAGTCATCCTAGCGAGACTATGAAATTCATCTAGAGTCATTCAGTCACCAGATACCCACATTCTCGATCCTGAATATACTGTGAAACTTTCCTCTTCTCCTTTTCCCAGCTGGGATCATGCTGTGGCTTCCTCAACAAGCTCCACCCCCTTGTTCTTGCTCTGTTACTCTCTGCCCTTTAACTCTACCTTCTACAGTGCCACCAAGGTGACCTTAGACAAATCTGTTTCATTCTCTGCTGAAAATGCTTCAGATGCGCTTGCCCCCTCTGCTGCATGTCCAGTGCTCCAACATGACTTTTAAGAATGGTCTTCAACTTTTTGGTTCTCTGAGCCACACCATGTCATCAACAAAAATAAGCAAGCGGACCTCCCTGGTGACTTAAGGGGTTAAGCACCGCACTATGAAGCAATCTACAGCCTCTGCAGCACGAGTTCAATCCCCAGGCCGGCCAGGAAGAAACCCACATGGCGAAGCAGACCTCTCCTGTCTCGCCCGTTGCTCCCCTCAGCAGTGTATTTCAGTCAGTCTGTCTGTTCTGTTCCTCACTCTGTCTCTGGTGAATCCTCTCACCCCACCCCGCCCCCATCTCTGGCCTGTGCCCCAGCTCTTGTATGCATAAATAAATAAATCTTAAAAAAAAAATCCTTTAAAAAAAAAAATAAAAATAAGCAAGTATTTTATGTCATGAAAGGTGACCAGACATGAATCGAGAACACAGTGGTTGATCCATTTCCTAAGAAACATGGGTATGATGCGAAATTACCAGCAATGTTCGATGTAAGAAATACTGGAAAAACACTAGCTACGAGAACCTAAGGAATGAAAGTCACATTGGATGGCCTCCAGGCCTCAACAGGTGAGCCTTGCTGACCTGCAGACTGATGAAGCTGCATTTCAAAAATTCAAGATAATTACTGAGGATGTTGAGGGCCCAAACTGCCTGACTAACCTTCATAGCATGGATCTTACCAAGATAAAATGTGTTCCAGGGTAAAAAAACAACAGCCCATGGTCAAAGCTCATGCTGCTGTCAATACTACTGATGGTTATTTGCTTGTCTATTCTGTGTTGGTTTTACTAAATAGCATAACAATCAGATTCAGAAATCTCTTATGCTCAGCATCCGACAGATCTGCCAAATTGGGAAGATGATGGAAATCATACCCTGAGAGGTCCAGACAAATGATTTGAGAGAGGTGGTTACTTAATTGATTCCAGTCTTCCTGGGGAAGACACAGGACTTGTCCATCTATTTACCTGCTCCGTGACGTCTTTGTTAGAATAGTGAAAATGCTACAGAAGCCCAACTTTGACCTGAGAAAATTCATGGAGGTTCTAGAAGAGCTACAGGGAGTGAGACAAGTGCTAAAGTTGAATGAGCTCTGGATATGAACCACCAGTTCAAGAATTTGTTTAAAATTCAAAGTTTCAATGGGGACTAAAAATCTTACTTGTGGGGAAAAAAAAAAACCATCTATTTAGGGTCTCCCTGGTGGCTCAGGGGTTAAAGGCTCAGCGCTATCAAACTATTGCCAAACACTGCGGCCTGAGTTCTATCCCTGGCTAGGGAGCTAACCCACATGGCACAGTAGACCTCTCCTGTCTCGCCCCCTGCTCCCCTCAGCAGTATATTTCAGTAGATCTGCCTATTCTGTTCCCCAATCTATCTCTGGTGAATCCTCTCACACACCCCCCACACCTCTGGCCTACACCCCAGTTCTACACATAAATAATTTTTTTAAAATGGCCTTTTAAAGAGTAGGTCCTGATTTAATGCTTTTTTTCCTGTATGGCACCATTCTGAAAATTGTAAGATGGTGAGTTTGACCAAAAAATTACAGCAAGTCACAAAAATTGACCCAGTCTTCACATTTGGAACATGGTATCAGAGGAGGTGCTTCCCCAAATGACCAAATAGCAACAAGGAAGCAAGATCTGTAGTGGGGGAAGCAGACCATTGAGGTCAGAATGCCGTGCAAAATCTGAACCGCGTGCCCACTCAGTGAGAAGGGCGGCTGCAAAAAAAAAGACCAAAACCAAAGACTAGAGATTTCAAAACCCTGACAAAATCAAAAGTCCCCCACTTTTAAAGTCGAATAAAACATTACTTTTATAATAGGTATAATATAAAAGTTATACATTAAAAAAAAGTTATACATTAAAATATAATTTCCATTTCTGCTTATTGAGAGACAATATACCACAGGCTCTGAGCACCCAGTGGGTTCCTGTTGGGTATATAAAGAATGCGGTCCTAACCTCTCTTCACCTCGGCCATTTCTCAGGGTGATATTCATAGCAAGGAACCCCAAGAGAGATAATGTCTCCCCACAACAGACGGCAGGCTTGCTTACTCCTCAGTCTAACAGCATTAGGCCTCCCAAGTTCAGTACTCAGCCCAAAGTGGGTTAGATATGACACCCCACTCTGTTCCCAGGCATCCATGCTGGGGCCTTTATAGCTCCCCAGGTGATTTTGTTTGGACAGAGGGTAAAATCCAAGACCCTACATAGTACTTCAAACATTCACACACACACACACACACACACACACACACACACACACATCTTCTATGAATGAGATTTATCTTACCGGATCCAGGTTCTTAAACAGCAGGATGTCTTTGCAAGCCTCTTGCAGTCTGTTTCTTTGATCATCAGTTTTTGGGTGTATGATCTAAAAGGATAGCAAATTAAAAAACAAACCCAAAATTAGTTGGCGTACCCTACTCAGAGGGATGAAATTTCCTACAGGATCACAGAACTTTAGTGCTCAGGTTCTCTGTAGACGTTATGGGCTCCCTAATAAGTAGGGGCAAGTGACACCATTGGGAGGTGGTGCCCTTTCTTCCAGGCAGCACTCGATGTTTTCCAAGAGTGTACCCCCGTCTTCTCCTCCCCAGGTTAACAAGTTCATTTTATAAAGGTTTGAGATTGGCTAATCGCTAAAGACATCAAGCAGTTGGAGCACACAGAAGGACAAGTGGTTTCTCAGCTACACTGGAAATCCAGAAACTTCCTCTGTTTTGCGTTTACTACTCTTAAATACTGTTTGATACACTCTAACACTGAGTTTGTTACTTTCAGGATGTGTTTTTTTTTCCTTCAAAACTTCATAAAGTCTCTAGAAATAAGCAGACTCTACATTTATGTTTCATGGGACATTAAATACCTTTTCATGTACAGTGTATGGAACTACCCCATACAGAGTGATTTTCCAAAAGGAGAAGGCAAACCAGGTCCCACCACAGCAAGTGTCTGTGTATGAGGAAAACTCATACAAGAGTGCAAGAGCACTAAGGCTCTCATTCTAGAATGAACTCAGGGGAAACCACCCTCGCCTCTTGGTAAACCCACTCCGGCAGGATGAAGACTGACAGGCGCCTCTATAAGTATGGTCTCCAGCGCTCCAGAGTTCCTTTTGACTGAAGACTTAACATTGCATAGACCAAATGGTCTTTTCATTGTGAACACCGGAAATCCGTAATCATGAAATGATTCAGAGCAGGAGATGGTCCAAAAAGCAGGAGGCGCTGAGTTGGTTTCCAGGAGTGCTATATATATACCACCTGTTCCTCTTCTAGTGGTCACGTGGACAGTGACCTTGGAGGTGATGAGAGGTGCTTCCCCTCTTCAGTGGGCTGGCAGGATGGGGCAGTAGTGAGTTTTGTGCTCATGAATATATCACAACGGACAATCCAAATCAGCATTTCTAGCCCAGCTCATATAACTAAAAATTAGTAAAAGCTGCAAGTGCCAGAAGAATCAAGGACATTCATATATATCTGTATTATTTATATGTTAAATGAAAGACTATTAGCCAGGGAGAGAGAAAAGCACTGCACTTTTTCCTGTAAGAGTAAAGTGTATGCAAACTTGTTTACTAGCTAAGCAATTCATCTCAAACTACAGCCAAAGATGACACATAAACACAGAAAAAGCAGATTCTGATGCCTGCTAGCTCACTGCCATACAAGGAAGTTTTAAATTTTGGATATTAACTATAATAAATCAAAATTCACTTCTCTCTAACAGAACAAAACAGGTTATTTCTCACTTCACAAAAGCATCTAGAACTTCAAAATAAAGCAATCACAAATGTGTGCCTGCTGAGAAGCTCAATCCTCAGAGAGAGGAAACAATGGCAGGATGCCAGTCACCTCCTTGTACCTCCCTCACTCTTGTCAGCTTAAGTCTTTCTCCCCAACCCATCCCCTTTCTCTGAGCCCGCACACAAAAGTCCCTAAGCCCGGCCTTTTCATCTTTCTGGTTCATGCACTCTCTCTCCTCAGCACCTTCTCTTATGAATTAGTACTTTTAAATTGTCTTTGTGTCCTGAGCCTGCCCCCTTGGCTACTGTCTACTGCTCCTCTTTGCTCTCCCTTTTTCCTTCCATTCCTCTCCCTGCCATCAGGCCCCAGGAGCTAGAATCTTTTATCTATTACAGACACCCTCCTCCTTAGAGTCCCGCTGTGTTCTGGAAAGCAAACAGTCAGAAATTAGGTGATTCTCTGAAGCTCTGGCTCCTCTGTCCTGAAGCCAGCTGCTCAGAAGATGCTCTCCCACTTTGAAAGGTCTGTCCTTCTTCTGTTGGGATTGGTGTACTCCTACATATGAGATCTGCATTTGGATAACTAGGGCTTCGGCAGTATACCCAAGTGCGGTTTTTATTCTACTAGAGGCCACTTCATCTTTTCATTCAATTTTACATCTCATTCAGGATAACAATCTTATTTGTTGAACATTTATATAGCATTTACAGTGCGCTAGGCACTGTTTTAAGAGCTTTAAAAATATCAACTCATTTTATCCTAGCAATAAACCTCATAAAGCAGGAAACCATTGAAATTGAACATTAAGAAAATGAACTTGTCCAAGCCACTTCTTCAATGTCACACAGTCCAGAAGCCGCAGAGCTGGGACTCATCAAGGAGGCCAGTTGCAGTCTGTACTCTAAGCCCAGGTCAGCAGACGATGGCCTGAAGGCCAAATCTCTTTTTGCAAGCCCCCCCTGGGCGAAGAATGGTTTTAGAGATTTTAATGATTGGAGGGGAAAAGAAAATCAAAAGAAGTTAGAATATTTCCTGACATGTAAAAATGGTCTGATATACAAACTCAAGTGCCCACAGGTAAGTTTTCAGGGACCCAGCTTGCTCCTATGGTCTATGGCTGTTTTTAAGCCATAACAGCAGAGCTGAGTCATTGCCATGGAAACGGTATGCTCTCCTCTTCCCCCAAAGCTGAAAGTATTTATTATCTGAAAAAGTAAACTTTCTGGTAAAAAAAATATTTACAGAAAGTTTGCCAGACTTCTGCTTTAAACTTCTGCTGCCTTTCAATTTAAAAAAATCTGAAAACTGATTAATAAAACTGCTTTGGACTTTTCTTTAAAGAAAACACTGTATATCTATTTTGTTAAGCAAGAGAAATCCGTACAAGATTGTCCTCATATTTTTTTCATCCATCCACACAGAGCTGAAAGTAACCTTTTAAAAATTTAAATCAGAACGCCCCATTCTCTAACTTTAGCCTTTGAAAATTAAACCCCCACTCCTCCTGTCTCCACCTTCAGCCACCTGGCCCCAAACACACTGGCCTTCACCCAGCACCTCAGACTCCTGCTCTCCTGGATGGAGTTAAATGGCAAAACTTAAAGGCTTCTTCAAACCAACCTGGAAATAATCTTATAAAAACATTAGGAACTCCAAAAAACCAATATCTGAGCAAAATATTAGAATCATAGACTATAAAAATAAAAACTGATAGACTGACATCTTTGGTTTTGTTCTTTTTTATTCCTAATAAGCTCTGTTGTTACAAACTAGTAAAGATAGGTTTTCCCCTGATTTTCTCTTTATTAGAAAATCTGTCTGAGAAAAATAACATCATATGAGAAAGATAGCTAAAAGCATTTTTTTCATCATCTGGCTGCATTTTGCAAAAGAAATAAAATCACAACTTCAGTGAGTTTTATGTTAATCTTTCCTTTTCTCCAAAATGAGAGACTCTTTGAATAAATATAATTGTACAGAAATGTGGCTAGAAGTAGGTATCAAAGCTAAGACTAGGAAAAAGAAATAGTCAAAGTAATTCCATTATGTCTCCTGTTAATTTATACGCCTGTTAACATTTTTTTCTATTATTATCATCTTATCTAAGAGTATCAATTTAAAATGAATTTGTTCAGTAAATTACATACCCTGGATTCTGCATCATCTTCTTCTTCATCAGGATTATAAGCTTCTGCACATACTATAAAATAAAATTGGGCATTTCAGAGATACTTTCATCAAGAAACAAATTAAAATGAATATAACTTTAAAAATTAATGAAAAAACGATACTGTGATGTTAAAAAACACTAATTTACATCAACAGAGGAAGCAGTCTACCCCCAAAACCAGTTTCTTATTGCAACTTATGAGGAATTTATTAATATATAAAGCTGCATTTAAAGACATGGACAATCACTACTTGCTCTCCTTTTCAAAGAAACATAGCTTACTTTTACCCTTATTTTCAAGCTACAGAAATGGGGTAAAACCTAAAAATCAATTTAAAAAGAGAAACAAAGTCTATACTTGCTATGAAGCGATCAACTTAATTTTATTGCCTATATAGAAAATTTCATAAATTATTCATGATCCATTCTTCTAGGAACAAATACTACCATATTGCATATTCTTTTCCAGGTTTAATTCTGAGTTGAGTTCAGACTGCATTAGAAATTTTAAAACCTTCTTTTTGCATTTAATCTATAAGAATTTTGCATGCCATGAGAAGCATTTTGTAAATATTGTTTTTTTTTTTTAAAGATTTATTTATTTATTTGTTTGTACATACAAGTACTGGGTGCAGTCAGAAGCACGGGAGGGTGAGAGAATTCACCAGAGCCAGAGAGGGGAGCAGAGCAGGCAGAAGGACGAAGTACACTGCTGAGGGGAGCAGCAGGCGGCAGGAGAGGTCTGCGCCATGTGGGACCCTCCTCCGGTGGCCGGGGAGCAGCCGGGGATCGAACCAGCGCTGCAGAAGCTGCGGGCAGCTTCGCAACCCAGCGCTCAACCGCTGCGCCACTGGGGAGGCCCTGTAAATATTGTTTTTAAGGGCTATTGATTATTTCGCATATGCTGTAATTAACTACTCCCCGAATGCTGGGCATTTAGCTAGCATTTATTAAAACTATTTTGCATCTAACATCTTCTTGCACAGATATTTGTCTACATTATGCTGCACAAATTATTCCCAAATATTATTTTGGGGGATTATTTTAAGGCATACCTATCTCTCAACAAACTTCTTTCTAGAGTGGCTGCCCCTCTGTTCTACAAAAAAATGTGTAGGAATCCTCTAAATTGTACAACAGAGTGAATGTTACTGCTGAAAATCTTTGCCAACTTAAATGGAAAAATGGTTGTACATTTAAAAAATTTATTACTGAATTTGAACAATGTTCAAATATTTATAAACTGACTATAACATTTCCCCCTTTATCTTTCTGTTTGCGGAATATTTGTATCTGGTTTTCTTTTTTGATTTATACTAGTTTCTTGATACCATTTACCATATTTCTCATAATTATTTTAGCCAGTTTGTCTGTTAACTACATTATACAGTTTTTACAGATTATGAATGTTTGTTTATTATGAATGTGTGATATCTTGCAGGGAAGAAAATTCCCCAATATGATTTAAACCCAATGCCAAACATGACAAAAGTACCATAATTTTAGGCTTGGATGCCAGTCTTTATTTGCAAATTTTAGATTTATTATTCCTCTTTTCTTTCAGTTTTTTATGCGTAAATCTTTTTATGCTTACCCTTAATCCATAGGGACTTTATTCTGGCACAGAGAAATTTAAAAAGGATAGGTGAAAAGTTGACAAATGCCTTCCCATTGGCCACAGGATGGCATCAAGAGTATTATCATCACTAATACAATTACCATCATTATTATATAACCTGCTGTTAGCTTTCTCTTTTCCAGTCATTGCTCTATATATCTAGATTAGTGATTCTTAGCCAGGGGACATCAGGAGATGTCCGCAGACATTCTGACTGTCACACCATGGAGATTTAGGGGGTAGATGCTGGGAAGACAGCCCGCCTCCTTGCCAGCAAAAAATTATCTGGCACAAAATGTCAGTAGTGCTGAGGTTGAGAAACCCTGACCTGTTGTATGTTTTCTCATTCAATCTCACTCACAACAATGTTAACTTAGCATTATAGCACCACTTGACAGATGAGACTAGGGCAAAAGGTCATGTATCTTGGCCAAGATACATACATTACAGAATCACAGGGCCAATCCTTGATGCCAGGATTGTCTGGATGACTCCAAAATCCTTGTTCTAAACTACTACATGTTGCTTTGACTGCTCTGGTGAATTCACCAACATAATGAATGGACTTCAGCCTTGTGTCCCAGAAAGCTAACAGAAGGGGATTTTTTTTTCTCACGGGCAGGCTCCCATTAAAGAACCTCACTGATGCATATAACCAAAATGCCAATTTAGTAACTAACTTCCTGAATGAAGTATGGAGTCAGCATGACCAGCCAGCTCTCTCCCTGCAGGAAGACCACAGAAGAAGCCAAATCACAATTAAAAGGTTGCTTGGTGAGAAGGAAATGGGAGGAAGAGAGTTTGTCAAATAAAATGAATGTTTAATGACATCAGTTTGGGGCAGCCTGAGGCCACATACACAATATAGATGGTCCAGCTAATGTGATCCAGACACTTTAATTGTGTTGGCTCAACTCTCCAAGGAACATGAGGACATCTACTTATAAAGCTTCATTTCTGTAACTTTATTTCAGTGGATGACCAACACACAGGCAGGGCCACTACATAATTTACAGGGCTTGGTGCAAAATGGAAAAACAGGCCCCACCTTCAAAAATGAGAATTTCTCTTTTTTTCCTCATCGTAAAGACTGACTCGTGGCAGTTCGTATAAGTCAATATATATTGATCCCCAAAGAACTCAAATTATTTAACAGATTACTAGTCTGTTGAGCCAACTGACTGCTGGATGGTAAATTGAAGTCAATCCCGCTTACTGGATATGAAGCCACAGCCAGGAGACCTACTGATATGCTGTTCCACCAGCTCTGAGAATCATGGCGGTTCACAGAGGAGGCCTCAGGGCCTCTGTAGGTGCATTGGAGTCCCACTGTCCTCCAGAAATAGCTTTTGTTTCTCTGCAACTTTATTTTCAAACTGCCTGTGTGAAGTAGGTCTGTGGTCCCCTGGGTGGGGGTGCTGTGGCAACCACTAACAGATTCCACAGCATCTTGGCTCAACTATTCCCTACCAATCTGGACCACTCACAACTTGAGAATTTCCAGAGGACATCAGAACATTAAATCAAGCTCAGTTCCTTGGTGAGTCTGGGGCCCAGAGGGTCAGCCCTGCTCCTGAGATCAGTGCTTTCAATGAAGTGATGTATCTGGTAAGATACTTAGTTCTTTAAGGTATGTTATCAATATCCCCGCATGCATTTCTGTTGCTCTTCAATTTTGATTCAGAGGGAAATCTTATTCCTCCAAGTTCTCAGTTTCAAGCCTCTAAACTGATTAAATATCATGAGGAGTAAGAATTTATTATTTTCCTAAAGAATTCATCAGTTGTCCCAGTACTATTTATTATTTACCACCCTTTTGATTTGTGGTACCTACTGTATCACATATATGTATGTTTGCTTCTCAATTTCTGAGCTATTCATCTCATTGAACCATTTCATTTATTGTGCAAACATCCCAAGGATTGTTATACTGCAATTGTTTCACTATATAAAAATTAACCTACCACTGCCTCCTATGATCAAATCAAAACACAGCACTTACAGTTTCATAAACTGTAAGGTGCCCTGGCACCTCTTTGTCTTCACTTACACTGTTTCCTATGACTGGGGATCCCTCTGTACCCTACTTCCTAAGCCATCTCTTAGGCCCCAGCTAAAGTCAGATCAAGAGTCAGATGTTGACCTCTTACCTGCACAGAGCTGATTTCAGACACACCACTAATGTGCTCTGTATTCTGTCCTAATACTGTGGGCAGAACTCATGACTGTCACTTGCTACACATTCCTCTACCAAAGATGGTGCTGTTCCCCCTCTGGATTAGGCCTTGAGCCCTGCAGGGACTGACCATGTGCCTGAGTTCATATCTATATTTCCCTAGCCCTGCTTGGCACACTGCCTGGCTCAACATGCATTTTTATGAGCAAATAACTAATGAACAAACAAGTCTGCACAGTCTTGGAGGGCAAAGAGATTGTTTCTTTTAAATAACTTCTAATATTCTTATTGGATAATAAACACAAGTAAAATGAATGAATGAATCAATCAATGAATAAATAAGAAGTTGTTCTTTATTAAAATGTCCTTCTGCCCATGAAACAAGGACAGGGAGAATGAGGGAAAATGATAGCCTTGGTCTTGTTCACTAAAAGGCCTGGCAGGAGATGAGGAGCTCAGTCATACTGTACAAGAAATGAGTGCACGAAGGGCTCTGTGCCTGGATGCACCCTCAAACCAAAGTCTCCAGATAACTCGAGCTGCTTCACATTCTTTCTGCAATCTATTTGCTCCATCCCTCCTGGGAAATCTCATATTGAGCTTGAAACCATACTCCATTTTGCTTGGCAATTAAACATGGTAATAAGGGACAAGGTTCTAATCTTTTTTTTTAATGCTTTTATTGAGGTAACATTGCATTACACTATATACATCTCAAATTTACCTACATCAGATCTGCCATTGTATATCAGCATCTGCATATACTACATTAATCTCACACTACAAGTTCAGTTCCATCCTTCACCATACAATTGACCCCTTTGACCCAGTTTACCCTCATCCACCTTCCCTTCTGGTGAACACTAGGTCTTATAACCCAAAGTTTATTATTTTTTTTACATATTCCATTCATTTGTTTCTTTATGTGCCATATAGGAATAAAATCAAAAGTCAGATGGTGAAAGACAAACATAAAGCCCTGTTCTTTAAGTGAAGCCTATATTGAGATTTCCCTGCTGGGTTGTACATGTATGTATCTGGATACCAGATTTATTGTCTAGAACTCTAGAACAGTCCAAGAGTTGAAGTAGATTTTCACATTGCAGAAGGGTAATATGCAGTTGTGGAGCAGAAACCTGTCATGGCTTGTGGGACAGAAGAGGAAAGTGAGAACTCTGTTGACTTGGCATCTTCTGAGGCTTGACCCTCAATCATTTCATGCAAAATATATACCTA